CATAGACAGTTGACCAGTCAAGGTCGTGGTCGTAGTAAGGGATGCTTTAGAGTACTTGGGGGATGAATTGATAGTCTACGAGGAGTTGTAGGGGGGTTCATCTGATTCCTATATCTACTGTAATTATTGTAAGGAACTAGATCACATGAAATTTCATTGTCGTTAGCTACCAGGAAAATAATCTCGGAGTGCACATGTTGCTGCATAGAAGAGTCATATAGATGATAATACTCGTCACTAACTTGAGCAATTTTAGCTCCAATTATTTAAGAAGACATAATCATCTCCTCCTACATCTACATTTGCTCAGACAGGTAAACCCACTGCTTGCCTTACATCGTCATCGTCTCGTACTTGGATTATAGATTTAGGAGAAATTGATCATATGACTTGAAACTGAGGTATATTATTCTTTAACATACCTACCACCCCCTTTCCTTTGGTAGTATTGGCTGATGGATCCACTAAACCTATGAAAGGTGTTAGATTTATCAATATTAATATTATTCCACTTTTATCTATGTTATATCTTCCTTGTTTTCTATTTAATCTTTTATCTATCAGTAAGATTACTAAAGCACTAAATTGTACGATAGCATTTCTTCCTACGCAATGTATTTTTTGGGCAATTGGGACAAAGAAGACAATTAGCACTGGACATGAGCGGAATAACATGTACGAGCTGGACTTTGACCCAGCCAAGGTGGTCTGTATTAGCTCTACATTAGCCTTTGATGAACATTATCAGTTTGGTCACCCCCTTCCTTCGATCCTTAAAACTTTAATTTCTGATTTGAATCATGTTGAGTCCTTAGATGTGAGTCATGTCAACTTGAAAAACACCAACGGGTGTCTTACCCAAGTCGCGTCAATAGGAGGGTTAGTAATTCATTTGATTTAGTATATTCTGACGTATGTGGGCCTTGTTCTATTCCATCCAAACTCGATTTTTCAACATTTTATTAGTTTTGTGGATGACTTTTCTCGTATGACTTAGATTTACTTACTGAAAAGTCGTTCTTTGTTTTAAAGCTTTTTTGTATTGAGTCAAAAATCAATTTCATAACATTATTAAAACTTTAAGAACAAATAAAACTAAGAAATATTTTAAAATCTTGTTCACAAATACTTGAAAGAAAATAAAATTTTACATTAGTCGTCTTATACTTACACACCTCAACAAAATGGGGTGGCTGAGCGTAAGAACAAACACTTGCTAAAAAATGCTAGGAACTTGTTATTTTATCGTCAAGTTCCAAAATATTTTTGAGGATGTCATTTTGATAGCCTGCTACCTGATTAATTGATTACCCTCATCTATCTTACAAAACAAAACTCCGATCTTCCTTTTATATCCAGCTGAAGATGTTTTCATTTACCTCATAAGATCTTTGAGTCTCTATGCTTTATTCACAATCATAGTCCTCAATAGATGAAATTATATTCGAAATCTATTAAGGGCATTCTTTGCAGATATTCTACAACTCAAAAAGGATAGAGATGTTATTTCCCGTCCTTGAATCGTTATATTGTTTTCGCTGATGTTTTGTTCTTTGAGAATAAACCAGGACATGTTGCCTTTGATGAGTTCTTATACCGTCCCGATGATTGTGACTACCTTATTGTTCGGGAAACCACTATCAACGTTCCTTCAATAAGTACTATACAAATTGATCCACCATCTAAGTTTGTGGAACCAGTTCAGGTTTATACAAGGCGTACTGCTCCACAACTTCAGCTACCATCCAAATCCACCCAACAACAAGTTAAAGTGTGGCTGTAGAGCCAAGTGCTTAGCCTACTGATGATCTTCCCATCATCCTCCGTAAGGATAAAAGACCTTCTTGAAGTTCCCGATATCCTCTTACACACTATGCCTCCTACTGGTCGTTATCTCCATTATATTATTCTTTCATATCTTCTTTGGATTCTCACCATGTTCCTAATAATTTGTTAGGAGCTGTATCTAACTTAGGTTGGATGGTGACAATGAAAGAAGAGATGACAGCCTTAGAACAGAATGAGACTTCGGATCTCGTTTCACTACTATCAGGAAAGAAAATAGTTGGTTGTAAATGGGTTTATATTGTCAAAGTAAATCTAGATGGCTCTCTAGCTTGCCTCAAAACTCGACTACTTGCAAAGAAATATTCACAGATCTATGGCCTTGATTATATCGATATCTTCTCCCCTATTGCTAAGATGACATCTATCCGTATTCTTATTTCTCTTGCCACCTGCTATCATTGACCACTATATCAATTGGAGAAACTACCAGGTTTTGTTGCTCAGGGGAAGTGTGACAAGGTTTACAGATTAAAAAAAATTCCTCTATGGTTTTTAGCAATCTCTGAGGGCATAGTTTGGACGTTTTGCAACATTTGTCCAGATATTTGGTCTTCACCAAGCTCAAAAAGATCACTTGGTTTTCTAGAGATTTTATGGTGGGAAGCAGATTCTTTTAGTTGTATATATTGACGATATTGTGATCGCCGACGATGATGCACAGGGCATTGATCATGTAAAGAAGTATCTACAACAATAATTTGAAATGAATGACCTTAGATCCTTGAAGTATTTTCTAGTTATTGAGGTGGCTAGATCGAAGAAGATAATTCTCTTATCTCAGAGAAAATATATGCTTGATATGTTGCTAAATGCTGGGATGTTAGAATGCAAGGATATTGACTCACTTATGAATGAAATTGTCAAACTATTACCAAATTAAGGGGAGTTACTGGAGGATACTAAAGAATATAGGCGATTTGTAGGGATGCTAAACCACCTAATAGTCACAACACCAGATATTATATTCTCTATTAATGTAGTTAGTCAGTTTCTCTCGACACCTAGGAAACCTCATATGAAAGTTGTGAAGATGATTCTTAAGTAGGGGTAGGCAACGGATGAGCTGGCTCATCCCGCAAGCCAGGTCGCACGAGCTCAGTGGCGAGACAAGACGGTCTACGTCCTGTAGCGAGACAAGCGTGCCATGTTGTATCACTTGTTCATGGGCTTAGGCCTCAGCCCAACCCACTTGCGGGACAAGATTAAGTGAAGTTGGCCATGACATGTGCCGGCTCGCTCGACCCACCATGTTTTTTTAGATTTTGTAAATGGTTTTTAGTTTTGTAAATAAATTTTAAGCACTATTTAACACTTAAAATTTATATGTAATTAACTAATAATGCAACCATTATAGAAAGAAAAAAATAATTTTATTTAATAAAATTGTTATTTGTATAAAATGACTGAGAGGAACATTACAAAAACAAAAAAATTATGTGGTTCGTAGCAAGCCCTATTCCATGGGCGACAACTAATTGTTCCACTATTTTAAAAATATAGGAATAAATTATAATAAACATTAAACAAATAAAAATAGAGAAAAATATGTCAACTTGTAATAGAGTTCAATCTTCTTCCTTCTCTTTGTCTTCCTCCTCAAAGAAAGCTACACATCCTCAAAAGACCCCTTTAGGTAGCGGAGCCATTGTAGACATCCTCTCGGGCCTAGCTGTCAGCTCTTTTGTGCTCCTGCAGTGATTCAATGTTTATATTATGTATAGGCAAAGATCCAAGGGATGAACTGATGAAATCATGAAGAGGAAAATTTTGTATACGAGACAAAGGGCCAAGTTCAGCGGGCTAGCCTGCTTACATTTAGGCCCAGCTCACTCGCTAGGCTCGGTGGGCTAAGCGAGCTGCTATCCCACTTGTTACTAGAGGTACGACCCGCTATTGTAGCGGACCGAATCAGGTCCGTCTCTCGCCGAGCCGAGCCGAGCTCAAGAGCGAGCTGAACGAGTAGGCTCGTGATCCGACCCGACCCAGTGCCCACGTGGTCTCGTACTTTAAGTAGAAGATCCCCGAAAAGTCACTTAAAGGGCTTCTCTTGATTCTCCACCCACCTCCTGTAGAGGTGGATCAATATCTATTTTAGAGACATGAGAATTCCATTTGTACTTACAAGAATGCTACTTAGGGAAAATAATCTCTTGACTCTCTATTCTTAGGTATCTTAAGAAAACTCAAGGAAAATGAGTACTCTATTCATATTGCGGTCACACGAGAGTTGCAGAATTCTCAGATGCAGATTGGGCAGGATCCCTGAAGGACAGAAGGTCAATTACTGGGTATTGTGTATTTCTTGGAAAAAATCTAGTATCATAGAAGAGTAAGAAACAGAGTGTAGTCTCTCGATCTTCAACTAAGTTTGAATATCAAGCCAGGGCGAATTTGACTTGTGAGTTGATCTGGATTAGAGATATATTAATAGAGATTGATTATTCTCCGGAGTGTCCCATAAGCTTATATAGAGACAACAAGGCCTCCATTCACATAGCTGAGAATCCAGTGGTCCATGAGAGAACAAAACATATAGAGATTGATTGCCACTTGATTCGCGAGAAGATGGAGAAGGGAATCATTAGAATCAATCACATACCATCAGAACATCAACTTGCATACATTCTTACAAACCCTCTCGGGAGAGCATAAGTAAATTTTGTTTGCAATAAGCTTGGCATGTACGATATGTATGCTCAGCTTAAGGGGAAACATGGGGAGAGTTGTTTGCTCATTTGTTGTTTAGTCCCACATCGGTTAGAAACAAACTCTTTTGTTTACTTATACACTATAAATAACATCCAAGAGAGCTAATAAGAGCTCTCGAGGGGTTTCAACTTCGACTGGATCGAAACCTAATCTCGTTGTATTTTGAGAGGTTGACAAATAAGCCTTCGATAACACAATTTTGTGCAAAAATTAACGGGTCTTTGAGATGGGTATAGGCAAGCAGGTACAAGGAGCTCCAAACCCAATTACCCAAACCCATTATCGACTGGTCAGATAAGCAATGAAGATGCATCATCAAAAACATGATGACCATCAAGAATCCAGCTCATCCTCACCCAATCCCCGATATCAACTCCCACGCGCAGTGACCCGAATCAAATCATCCTCAAAAACTGCTCAACTTTTCTCGTGTGATCTCAACAACCCATATAGATCTCTCATTACTTCGAAGAAAATATCTTAGGAATTTGAATATAACCACTATGACATACTATAAGAAGAATACATATATTTAAGTTTCCATTCCAAGAAAAAGTGAGATATATATCATCAAAAGATACACAATCCTCCTCAATTTAAACGCTTGATATCATGGCGACCCCCACTCTTCATCCTCTTTATAATTGAAGCGCATTTCCTTCTTTCTCAACTCAACCCTTCACTAGCTATTTTCTTGCTTACAACTCTACGAGCTAACAGCTTACAGTCTTTATTTAGTTCTTTGCGATCTGTTAAGGAAATGGGTGACATCTCGGCATCGAATTTGAATGGAGGTTATGGGGAGAGTAGGAGGAAGAGCTGTTGGTATGAAGAAGAGATTGAAGAGAACTTGAGATGGTGCTTTGCCCTTAATAGGTAGTTCAATTAGTTTATTCTTTTACATTTGCGTTTATATAAATTCTTACTAATCAGACAGTTGCTGCATAAGTAGCCAGCTCCTGAGTGATGCAAAACATTACAATTATTTCAAAAGCATTTTCTCTTTGGTGTACCAACTGACTAGTGAATATGAATTAAAAAAGAACTGCTTAACGAAGTACGAAAATATATATAAAGGTTCATTTTTTTTCCTATTTATGATCAATGAGCTGACATGCACAGCTTCTGTGAATAACTGCAGTATTTTACACACTGGAGCTAGTCAGTACCAGGACATTGCATTGCTGGACACAAAGCCCTTTGGAAAGGTACTATACAGCACCGAACAGAAGAAATAAATCATGTTATAATATAGATCATTTTATACTTACTTATCTCTGCCTCTGCTTTTTGTTTATTCTAATTAACTGCAGGCTTTAGTTATAGATGGAAAGCTTCAGAGTGCAGAGATTGATGAATTCATATATCATGAGTCCCTAGTTCATCCAGCATTGCTCCGCCACCAAGAGTACAATTCTTTAAGTCATTTAAGATTTATTTTGGTTTTCAGAAAATAGATAAATTAATTAATACAATGCATCTTCCTCTTTATAATTTTAATGTTTGTTTCAGTCCTAAGACTATTTTCATAATGGGAGGAGGAGAGGGATCCACTGCAAGGGAAATTCTAAGGCACAACACTGTAGAAAAAGTTGTCATGTGTGATATTGATGAGGTAACTAATCTTGATATGATTTTTGTTCAATTATAT